CTAATCGATTCTTGGGATTTAAGAATCGATATCGTTCCGTAAAAATGAGAATCGATTAAAATCGAGATATCGATATTTTTTACCCAGCCCTAATAGAGAGATAGATAAGAGTAAGCGTATGAGTTCTGCAATCGTATGAACCAGGAACCCACTGCTCACATGGTCAGTCGCATGATTGTCTCCTGAAAATAAAATGTCATATGCTTGGAATAATAGGAATTAATTAATATCTAATTTAATAATAGGAAAATAATATCCTACTAAGTATTTGATTATTTAAATCTCCTGTTTAAAAATAGGAAAACAGACGCACTATAGTTGAAATAGCTTTGTCTTGCATTATATCTCTCAAAATGATGGATGTCATTAAAATTGGAGATAAGCAGAAATAAGTTAATGCAACCTCTTATTTACATAATGTAAACAAAGCTGCTTGGTTTATATTTTAATCTATAGAATGTATTGCAAACATTCTGCTGCCATAATAATGGCCTATTTCAAATATTTACCATGTGTGGTGATGAAATATTGTTCTTGTCAATACCTTCCAGCATTTCAGTACTAAGAGTGTACATCTTTCATCATTGTATCATCTTACATTGCATGCAAATTACAGCGAAGCTCAACAATTACCATACGGTGTTAGGCAGTGGTCAAAATGGATAAACTGTGAAATTTGAATTGATCACTTCTTGTTTTCTCAGAGATGTGGATTCTGGTGGCAATTATAATATGACCTCAGTGTTTTGTCAATAACTTTAGGTAATTTTGGCGGGGATTTTTACACGGGTGATGGGAAAAAAAACACAGTCATTCTGGGTTAGGACAGCACTAAAATCACTGACGAACCTCTGCAAATGTTGAAAACACTTTACATCCCTATGAGAAAAAAATTACCGTCCGAATAGGGCTTATGTCTTCCTTATTTAACACACCTGATTCAGATCATCAGCTCGTTAGGAGAGACCCCATGTGTCAGATAAGAGAGACATACAAAATGTCCAAAGCAGTAGTTGAGAGACACTATAGTTTAAACTATACTGTTTAAGCAGTTTACATACCATATCAAAGTTATGGTTTAGTTTGATATCTTACAAATATATATACTCATTAAAACAATAAAAAATAACTGCATTTCTGTTGCAATGAGTTACGTTTCTAACATATGCGTCCCAAGAATCACACCAGGCCTGAGTCTGCTGACCTGATTCTTCATGCCAACATGAAAAACACACCGGCAGTCATCCTTCATAAGGGATGAGTGCAAAAACAAACAAAACAAAGATGCATGGAGGAAAACCAAGTCACTTACATTTTAAACACAATATTGTCTGTTTTTGCTTCATTTGACCAACAAAAACAGCTCCAAACAAATCCACAGTAGATCCTGTAGATTCAAATGATTCATTTAACACACAGTGGTGTGTTTAATGAATTGTTTGAATGAATGATTCAATGACCCATTCATAAAGACTGTGGCTGCATTCAAAATATGCATACTTCCAATCTACTTAACCACCAATCTATGAAAAAAAGTTTTAACCAAAGTTTTTTTTTATTATTAAAAAAACGTTTTTAACTGCTAGAGGGCTAAACTGTACATAGTATAACTTAAAAAATGTCTTTAATATATATACAAAATATCAATCCCATAGCCTTATTCATTTATGCAATTGTAACTGCACGGTAAATGCATCCATGCCACCACTGAAATGCATTAAACAGCTTTAAAAAAAAAGTGTTCTAAATTCTGTTGATACTAGTTTCATTTGATTGGTACCCCTATAGTATCTTATCATTCTAATTGAATTTGATTAATTGTAAGACAAAAGATGATGCATCTAATAAGGTTAGAAAAAAAAACCCATATAAATGTAAAATGCACCAGGAAATCGATTTAATGGGGCGCCTTTAGGAAAAAGTTGATTTCTGTCACTGTTGGAAACTATAGCAATGATGTAAAGAATATATGATGAATACGAAAACATTTGGGAGTCAGCTGTCCATGACAGGCCTAAACTATACCAGCACAAAACACACTCAGCAAAATATAGTCTAATTATTGTTATTGACTAAATCCCCAAAAATATTTGTGACATAATGCTGATTACTATAAAAATTAATTCCATGGTTTACAAATTAGCCACACTAACTTCCATTGTAAGTGCCTTACTGTAATCTCGTTTTTTTGTGATTATCTGTTTTGCTGGAGAAAAGTAAGGCTATACAGCAAAATCCCCAGAGTTAAATCAACTCTGCTCAGAGTACATATTGTCCCAATCTACAGAGTGTTAAAGTAACACTGAAGCAGAGTTACCACTGTTGAGGATTATGTGATACGTTTTCATGTCTAAAAGCCTGCTGATCCAACCATCACTAAACTGGCATCAGACTGGCACTAACGACCTTTAAACCCATGGCATTCATGCTGTTCTGATCTTTTTCACAAGAGGAGGAAGAGAAGGAAAATGGATATAAACAGTGAAGATAACATTGATAATGATGATAATACGCTACATCAACTGCACGCATATTAACACCCATTCATCTACAGACACACAACAGTGTGTCTTTTTTTCTTTGCATTTTCATGAAATACACAGAAATGGTTTATTTTACTGGCTCTTGGAGAAGTGGCAATAGTAGCAATGGTTAAAGGCTAAAGAAATACATTTCGCAGCAACAGCTCCTCAGCATTGCATGCTTACAGGTCTGGAGTCCAAGCTTCAGGTCAGTGGAAGCTCATTCAGTCTAACTCAAACTACAAATTCTAAATTAGACATTTACACGAGATCAGTGAGACCGTTCCAGATATTTACCAAATTTAAAACAATAGTTTTGAGCATTAATGGAACAATGGAGTCTAGGAGTCTTTCCTTAATGTGCTGATGTGTTGACACAAGTGTGTTTGATAAAGGAGACATGCATAATGCTCTACTCAGTTCTGAGTTTCTATTCTATTCCTTCAAGAACACAGCATAACACACACACACACACACACAAAACAACAACACCATTGGTTTCTTGTGCAAAACAATCTCTTACTTCTCTGACTGCATTTGATAGCTTGTGACTGTGACAACTTCACTCATCTTACAACAAACAAAACAACAGACAGAGCAACACAGTGTGCCAGTCAGTGTCACTTGAAGTCAAATTTCTTGTTAATATTGCACAAATTATTGCAAATCTATACGGAAGAGTAGCACATTAACAAAGACATTTGGCAAACCCCTCATCCTTACCAAAAGGACCATTTGGAATTGTACCAATAGTGAACATCTCAGCCTATATATGTACCTTTAGTGCAGTCGGCACAGCTGTAATTTGCTGATTGGCCAGTTTTAATGTTTTAGGTTTAGTTTTAGATACATGATCAAGGCTATGCTCTTGAATTCTCCTCTTTCTCTCTACCTGAGCTCTGCCTTCCCGGGCAACCGGATCATTAGTTGCTAGGAAAGGCCATTCTCAAGTCCTAAATGGAATCTCTCTTGCTCCCATCCATGTGGCTTTTTAATTCTGTACTTTCTCTGTTTCACATGAGCCCTACCGTTCACTTTGTTACTCTGATAATATTTCACATACAGTAGCTACAATTCATAGTCCATGCATCTGTTTTGTAGCTGTTTCAAGTGTAACCTTAAATCTTAAAAATGGCCAAACATGGTTTGGAATGTTAACATTTAAGGGATACATTGCAATACAATCACATTCCATCAACAATATATGTTTTGATAGTAATATGCGGCAGAAGGTGATAACATAAAAAAAAGCATTATACTATCATGATGTGAAATTACACTCTAAAAAATGCTGGGTTGTTTCATCCCAACTTTGGGTCAAATATGGACTAACCCAACTTTTGGGTTAAAAATTTAATGTAAAAATTTAACCCAACAGCTGGGTTAGTCCATATTTGACCCAAAGTTGGGATGAAACAACCCAGCATTTTTTAGAGTGTACACTACAATGACACCTTTTCACTCAAATCTTGCAGTGTTAAATTTAAACACACTCCTCTTTAAAGAACTACATGTAGAAGGGCTTGGGAGATCAATGCAAACATACAAATGTGCACAAAAAAAACAAAAAAAAAACAGTAACTTAGTAGAAAGCTGCTGGCTGGTTACATGCTGTAATTGCAATCACATGCTCCTAAAAGTTGTAGAAATGCATTACTGAATGAGGCTAGAACTACCACAAATCAATACTACTGTAGTCCTATCATCAAACCACGTCACCGTATCCAATAGCAACAGAGCACATCCTCTATCTCGGTGCTGAAGCTCCAAAAACACTGCACATTTTAGATGTCATCTTAATCAAGCACACCTGATTAGCTCATTGACTCCTGAAGTGGGTGTGTCAGATGAGGAGACGTCCAAGATGTGCGGTGTGCAGGAGGGAGGACCAGGGCTGGAAACCGCTGCGCTACATTCCTCTGCAGCGTTTTTACTACGAACGGCATACGTCACCAAACATGTAAAGCTGGCGCCAGCGGCTCATTTCCCGCGAAAATAAGACATTCGATTGATTGAGTTGATTTTTTTTGAAAAAGAGCTCTAAATTCTAAATAAGACAAACGCAGCTAACAGAGGCCCAATCATTCACAAACACCATCCTTGTCCATTTACAACTTCCACAGTCGTTCGCATATGACCTCAGTGCATGCGAAATACAATATTCTTGACAAAAGAGATATTTCCTCTATCTTTACACACGTCATTAGAAAATATTGTCTTTTTCGTCCACGAAACAGCATCAAAATAAGCCCTGGCGCGCGCTGTCCTTGTCTTACCGTTACAGTAGCGTTCCTCACAGCATTAGATGCGGTTTGGCGGATCTCAGCTGCGCTTCCCGGCTTCAGGAGGCTTTTCGTAAATCTACTGGTCGATTCCGCTGCCATTTCTTCATCGGTGCATTCAGGGCTAAAATCTGCAGTATGTGCCACGAATCGCGCCGAAAGCGAAAGCTTGCTTTCTGCAGACTGTAAATGCGCGTCCTTCTGCTCACTGTCTGCTCCACTCAGCAGCTTCACTACGGCGCGGTGGGCAGGGCTCTGTTTCCTCAGCAAGTCAAGTCAGATGTGGACCATGTTCCTGCAGCAAATCGTTTTAAAAATCATTCCCAGGCATTAGCAACAATGCAGAGTTCGAGCATTGTGAAAGTATTCCGAGTGTTGCAGGCAGACAGACTGATCCCATCAGCAGGATGCCCAGTGTCTTTCATCCAGGTCAACAGGTCAAGTGCATTAACCTACGAACGAGAAATAGTATTAGAGAAGTTAATAAGTAATATAACACTAGACGCAACGTTTTTAATGGTTGATTCCTCACGTTGGCAGTTTAAGGTGCGGGTAAATATATTTACAGATATGCATGCATACAAAAAGTAGTCTTACTGCGCTAATTTCGGTGAATATGCCATTTTAACTAAACTGTCTAGTAGTGTACGCGAGAACATTTGTTGGACTTTGGCGCCATCGCGCGTCATAAAACACAAACAGAACATACTGTGATAAAATAAAATAAAAAGCATGGCAAAAGTGGTTGGTTGGAGCCTCAGCAGCATTGTCATGACAGTTTTTTTTTCTTTTGCATAATGATGCATTAAATAGTGCCCAAACACATCTATATTGCTACTGTGCTATTCATGTCTTTACAAACGTGTATGATGTTGTTTCCAATGATATTAAGCACAGATCACATTAAATGCTATTTTTCATCAGGCTAGATATTAATAACTCAAACCCCTTTCAGTGCCGTCTCTACTTACACGCAAATCCACCATGTTTGTAGTTCTTTTTATTCATGTTTGTAGTTCTGAACCAAATCCTGCTCCAGAGCTCAGTGGGTTGTGGGATCTTTAAAAATTATTAGATCACAGAAACCATTTCTGGAGAGGTAATTACGTTTCAATGTTTAAGACTTTTTTTAAAAAAGTTGTTTCATGAACAAAAAGGCTTTCCAGGGTGACACATTTAATTGTACTAGTATGACAGCACCACACAGCCTACAACAAGATAACAGTTCATGTGGGGTATTTGTACAAATGTTTGTGTTGTTTTCATGTTTACTTATGTTTGTTCATGTAATGCAGGGATTCACAAACTTTTTTTGTGTGTGAGCTGAACCTCTTTGACTTATTTACTTGAAATCTCCCTCAGATTTTAAGTTGATTTTTCAATAGTTTATCAACATGTTCACAGTTCTCTGATGTGGGTTAATAGTCACACAGACATGAAAGTAAACAAATAAATAAAATAAAATAAAGTATTTGTATTTCTAATGTTCAAGTGTTTTGATAATTATTTGATTTGATTTTATTATTCTTTTTTCACTATGGTACATAATATGCAAATCTACAGTATTTGATTTATGAGGTCAAATCTCATCTAAAATGTAGTCAGATTACATTAGCTAATATGTGTAATCCAGTAGATTAGGTTACTAACAACAGATTTCAACAAAACAAACATACACCAAAGGCAACCTGAGTAAACACAAAATACATATTAAAAAGATGCTATTTATTTAAGCAAAAAATAAAATAAAAATAAATAAATAAATACAAATTTTATATAATACTGTGGTGTAATGGGATAATGTGTATTTGTAGTTCCCTTTCAGTCGGTCACTACGAGTCACGTCGTGACCGACGAATTGGGATATCGCTTCGATAGACCTTACATTCATTGGCTCCCGTTCTTATGAAGCCAGTATATTTCAGTCATGTGACTGATGCTCATGTGTGTTGATATGTATTTTTGAACCTGTTGTAAAGTGCATTTGATTGCATTTGTCGATGGTCTGCCTCATTAATACATAACAAACACCCACTGTGTCTGTGTGAAAATGTATTTGCCCCTGCTAATTCTCAAATCTGTGAAACTACATTCATAATTGGGTTGAAGGGGTGTTTATATGACACCATTTACAACTAAAAACTAAAAAGTTCTAATGCATTTTGACCATTCATTTACACAACAACAGTGTTTTGGGGGCCTGAAAATGCAAAAAAAAAATAAAAAAAACGTATCCATGTAAACTACAAAAATGCAAAATTTGTGAAAACTGTGACATCATGCACATGTGTATTACGTTCTGCTTTTATAAGCGGAGGTGATGTCCTGTCCATTTTTACTAGAGCAACCTGTTGCGGAAGGTGCAAGGATAGTTCGAAGAGCTTTCCGATTTACATTTACATTTAGTCATTTAGCAGACGCTTTTATCCAAAGAGACTTACAAAGCAATCAAAACTAACAAAAGAGCAACAATATGTAAGTGCAAATGACAAGTCTCGTTTAGCCTAACGCAGTACACGTAGCAAGGTATTATATATATATATATATACTGTATATATACACACACACACAAAGAAAAACAAGTAGATAGAATAGAAAAATATAAAGGCTAGGGTTTTTTTTATATTTTAAAATAATTTAAAATAATAAGATTTCAATGCATAATGCAGGATAGACTGAATCCTTTAGCACAGCACAATAGTTTACATTTTAGAAAGATACCATATTTTACCATATTTTATCATATTATCATTTACCTGATGAATTTGTTGGATCCTCATATTAAAATTGAACTCATCAGAGTCGGGGCTTTAACAACAGCACAGACTGTGTGCACTGGCCTGAAATTTTTTGCAAGAATTCACTGAAATGCACTATTGGAGATGCAGCGATGCAACTTGGTGAAACGTGTCATGCCATTCGCAAAGTATGTCTAGCGCTCAAGCATTTCTTGGGGGTTTTTGTGGTATTTTTCAAGCCACTTAAGACCCTAGGTTTTACAGGTACATTATAATTGTTATTGAAGATCATGCAATCATTATGTGACAATATTTCAGATTAGTAATAGTATATTTAGCATAAAGGAGTAAAATGCAATTGACTAACATCTCTTAGATGGTGTGTGACTCTTATGTGTCATATCACAAACATCAAAGCCAAATGGCCTGGATCTGTGCATGAAGAATCTTAAGAATCTCCAGAAAGTCACATTTATGGCATTTACTTTTTATCTTTCTAGAAAAGGCAGCATTCGGTCACATTTTACCTGCAATAACAGACATTGTTATGTTTGGTCAGCAAATAGTGTATTAGCACTTACTCTGAAGTTCCTTTTGAAGCCTATCAATAGCTATTAATAGTTAGAGTGAACGTTTATTATTTGTACGTTTTGTCTTGCAGTTTACACACTCAAGCGGTTTTAAATCATTCCAATGCAAGATGAGGTGAAAGAAATTATGAAAGAATACCTGTCTTGACAATCATTCTCGCAAACCAGTTGGTTATATCTTAAGTGAACGGAAACAACTGAGAGAGAAATCGGATCGGTATATTGGATCCATGCATTCGGTCTTAAAGGGACAGCAGCCTATAAATACCTGCTGCTGTGTCATTAAAGGGGTCATCGGATGCCCATTTTCCACAAGTTGATATGATTCTTTAGGGTCTTAATGAAAAGTCTGTAACATAGTTTGGTTAAAATTTCTCAATGGTAGTGTAAAATAACACAGTTTTTACCCTGTCAAAAACAGTTCTGTCTACAGCAAGCTGTTTTATTTCATGTCGCTTTAAATGCAAATGAGCTCCTATTCGCCACGCCCCTCTCTTCCAAGCCGCTCTCTGAGAGACGGTAAACTTTAGCTGCATTCATCGTGAAACTTGCTAACCAGCACGTTATTAGAAAAGGCGATTTGCAAAGATTCATTAAAAAACCTTATACTCACTTCTTCTGGAGGTGAAGCTGGATCACAAATGATTAGAGCGAACATAAACGCATTTAGGTAGATCGGGGACACATTCCCTTCAGAAAAAAATTTAATCCACTGCGTCTTCAGATGTCGGGAGTAAATGATGACTGCTATGTTCATTATCATCCAAAAACAGAACACCTCAATCACTTAGGAGTAGGGCTGTGAATCTTTGGGTAGACAGCGAATCGATTCGATTCACGATTCATGGAATCTGAGATCGGCTTGATTTGAGAAAGGGGAAATGATTTAATGAGATTAAAAAAAACACTGGGTGGATCTTTATCATTTTAGGGTGGTTGTGTACACACACTGCCAACACACATTTCAGTTCAAACAGCTTGTAAAAGTGCATGTTGCATCCGATGACCCCTTTAATGTTAATCAAACAACAAAACACAGCTTTAACAAAGGTTAATCTATATTTAATTTATACAGTGAACAATATGTAGTGTTATTTTACACTTAATTATTACATTTCTGTACCTGAATACTACTATTACTGTTTTTTATTATTTGTAAGTGTTATTTTGTATTTATCTATGCTTGTAATTTGTGTATTTGTTCTTATATTTTTACTGACTGCTCACTTGCCTTTAATAATATTTGAACATTTTTCAGGCTAGTAGTTTTTTATCATTTTTTTTAGTAGTTTTATTTTTTTAAGTCATAAATGGAAAGCAACATTACATAGATATGTACCATAAGTTTTGTGATCCGTTGAACCGCTACTAAAAATCAACATGTCTAACAACATGAGAATATATTGCCTTGTTTCTGCAAAGACATTCAGCATGTTTTCTACAAACAATGTCTGATGTGTTTACATTTTACGTGGCATGAGAAAGTGACATAGGCAAAAATGCTACTCGAAATCAAACAGATTTCCAGAAATGTGATTTGAATAGGATTTCAAACCACATATGAATTTTTAGTTTTAGATTTATTTATTTATTTTATTTATCTCATAAATCATGGATCTGAACTGATTTTTTTTATTTTTATTGAAAATTCTATAAAAATACTTATGTGGTACATCTCACCTTGAAAAAACATGGAAGCAAAATGACTGATATTTATATATTTAGTACCAAACAAATATAATTCTTGTTCAAACATTTTTTTTTTAAGATTAAAAGACAATTTAAAAATGACTGCATAATCCCCAGTATGTGGCAATAGGTGGGTGGCATGGCACTATGAAAATAGCTATTTAATAAAAGAAGAAGAAAGAAGAAATATGGTGCTCTTTGTGGCATTAGGCGCAAATAAAGAATTGAGGAGACTTTAAATGTCAGTTCACCCAAAAATGAAAATTAGCCCATATTTTACTCACCCTCAAGGCATA